TTGAGTCGGTGAGATTTGAACCGCTGAACTGCAGATAACAGTCAGCTGAAGTGGCCTGCAGTACTGCACCCTAACCACTGCGCCACCTCGGCTCCTAATATTTAACAGAGGGGACACTAAGCATGCCAATCCAGCCAGATCTTACAATTTGTATACAACCCAGTAATTGTGTGGCACAAAAATGTAATACATTTGTTTGTTTGTTTGTTTGTTTACTAACTAACTAACTAGCTGGATACCTGTACTTCGCGACGAAACTATGTGATCAAGCAATGCAGGAGAAATCCAGTTCACTCCAGTTCAATGCGTTGGCTCAGTGGTGGTCAGTGATTGAAGCACATAAGGGAATATTGCTCCCGCTGCCTTGAGTCTGGAAGCAGTTCCATAGATGGAAGGCGTAGATATTTTAGTGAGGAATGACATTTAGTACTGTAAGGAGCTCGAGACCACTTCTGAGTAAAGGAGTGCAATGTCTGTCAGTTTGAACTGAGGTAATTGAATATGAGGCAACTGGCAGTTGGAACAGAGTTCTTTTCAGGTGGGGAGGGGGAGTAGAGCTCCTTAGCATCAGAACGTGTTAATTACTGTATAAGAATCAGGAGGCTGTGACTTTGATCCTAGATAGTGGCAGATATTTCTCTCTCTGGGCACAATGAGTAAATATAATTTGCCATTGGCGACAGGAAGAATATCCGGCCAGTAAGCACCCAGCTCCATTCAGTTGCCCCGACTCAACCTCAATGCAAGGGATTATGGGGTCATGAAAAGACCCCACCCTCCCCCGAATCCAGCAATGCTTAAATAAAGCAATGAATGTAGCCCTCTGTGCAGGCTTAAAATAAATTAAAATTAATCAGTTTTAAACTAGGTTTCACTTTCTTGTATTTTTCTCCCTCTAAAACTTTACCTTAATATCTTCTGCCATTTTTTTCTCTTCTTCAGTAAGTTCTATTGCAGCTGCCTCATCAGTGGAGAAGTATTTAGATGCCGGGATCATTTTTCCATCTTCCAACTGAAGATTCTTTACTAGCAGCTGTAGAATAAATAACATAGAAAAGGCAGTCAGCAGAGTGGGGGAAATGGGGGCTACTGACTCATTTTCAGCATAATTTATTCTCATGAACTTAGCCTTGGCTTTGGCCCTATCCAAAGACTCATACAAAATATGTACAGAAACATTCTACACCAGAGGTGGGTTTCAAATCCCAACACTACTGGTTCACTCGTACTCTCGTGCTAGCTCTCAACAGTTCTGCGCATGCGCAGAAGCATCCAGGTGGGTGAGCGGAGCCTCCTGCTGCATCCACTACCGGTTCAGCCGGTCTGGGCTAAACAAGAAGCAACCCATCTCTGTTCTATACGAAAATCTTTACATAGTTAGTTAGTTGGGTCTTTAATTTCAGTTCAATACAGGGATGGGCTTCAAAAATGTAAGCAATGGGTTCTCTGCTTGGTTGCTGGGTGGGCGTAGCCATGATAGGTATAGTTTAGTCAGCCTCCTGCACCATGCCGGGGAGGCCATTTTCACTTTCCCCAGGCTCCGGAGCTTTCCTCGAGCCTCTGGGAGGGTGAAAACTGTCTCGCCCGGGCTCTGGAGGCCTTCCAGGAGGCCCATTCTTACCCCTCCCTGAGCCTCTGCGCAGGCCCTGCACTTACCTCACATCCAAAACAGGCCATGTGGCGACTCCTGGGAGGGGCACGGTGGGGTGGCAGGGGCGTGGCGTGGTGGGCGGGACCAGCCAGGGGCGGGATTTGCAGGTTCTCAGAACCGACCATAATGTTAGCTGCGGGTTCTCCCGAACCCATGCAAACCTGTAGCGGCCCACCCCTGGTTCAATAGCACTGTATCTTTAAACGCTTACCGTCTTTCCATCATTGCCAAACAGAACCAGACCTTTGTCAGTTACCAGACCAGGTTTTGCAGCACCTTGTATTTCCAGTTCTTCACCTGAAGGTGTCAAGCCATCAAGAATGGATGAGCCATAGAAAGTAACCATCTATAACGAAGATAATCTTTATTATGTAGGGTTTAGCAAAGAGTAGGAGCAATGAGTGCAAGTGAAAGGATTTGACAGAAGTAAAATATTTGTTCTTTCCTTCCAATTGGACCGGAAAGACTACTTTAAATTGTTACTGAAGGTGCACATAAAAAAAAACAATTACAGCTTATCTTTTTTTTACAAACATAACGTTAGCTATGGGTTCTTATTCTAACTTTTAATCATGTCACCCTTTATTTAAAAAAAAACATTTTCTTTCTATCCTACCTAACTTCTAGTCATGTCACCTACCTACAAAAAAAGGAGAGAAAGGAAAAGAAAAGCAGATCAAAACAACAACAAAAAAGAGAAATCATCTATCCATCATCTCTTGCCCGCTTCATTACTTTAATTACTATGCTTTTCTTCTTTCCTCCCATATTCCTCTCTAGGATCTTTATCTCTTTCCACATCTTCTTCTTGGTTGTTCAATCTAAGTATAAAATACTTATCTTAAATGAAAGTCCTATAGAAGAAAGTTTGATTCAGAGAAAATGCATGACTTTTTTTCAGTCATCAGCATATTTTACTACCAAAATTTATCTTGTTATATTATCAAATTATTCCTCATTTCCTAGCAATTTCTTTTTGTTTGTGCAATGAAATCTGATCATCAGGAAGGTGACCTTGTCACTCTCTTTCATTAAATCAATCACATAGGGCTGTTGCTCCTGAAGAAATGCAGCATACATCTAACAAACAATACCAATAATAATAATATAATAATGGTAGCAAGACAATGGATTTCTGATCATTATTTGATATACATAAAGGACCCATTATCCCAAGGTAGATAAAGTAAGTTTATAATTCATAATGTTTTACCTGGCCATTGATTTCTGCCCAGGCTCCAGGTACTTTATCATGTCCTCTGATCCAGTTATGCAAAGATAAAGCTGGTTGATCCCAAAATATCTAGGAAACCAAGAGGCAAAGTTGATCTCTTCCTATTTAAGATAAGTGGCTTTTAAGATACAAGCAAAGCAAGATAGAACAATCTCCTCTCTCCCCCTCTATGGTTGTCTGAAAGATAAATCCTGGTTTGTCACTGGGAGTTGGGCAGCATATGAGTTTAATATGTTATTACCATTACACTAAATTATTAATTCAAACATTATGTTACTCTACTACTTTTATTGATTGGCTGATTCTGGGATTGGAAGTCCACAATTCTTGAGATTAGTAAAGTTGAAAAACATTGCTTTAGAGGGATGGCCACGTTAGTCTGTTGGAAGAAAAAAAAACTAGATCCCAGGAAGCCAACATGTAATTTGTTTGGGGGGGCTTGGAATGCTTGGAACAAAACCAAACATTGCAGATTAGCATATTCTGCCAATCTTGGCTTGTTCAGTAAAGAAAACTTAGTGCAAAGCACTAAGCCACCCAATGTGTTGTAGCCCATTCCCCCTTCATGAGATTTCTGGCTTTCAAAGAACAGTGCTCTATTGCTCAATGTACCTTGGCATTTTCTTTCTTCTGAATGCCTTCATAGGTAGCACCTTCTTCAGGCTGAGGTATTCGAAGAGCTTGGCCATCAGCAATTAGCTGCACAGCTTCTATCTAAACACCAACAACAAAAAAGCAGCTTTGATTGATCTAGGAAAGCAAAGATTTTTTTAACAACCTATCAAAGCAGTGCTGACACTAGGTGAGCTCTTGAATCCTGTAGAAGTTTTGGAAATACACAACACTAGGATATGGCTGGCCATAGAGGCTGCATATCCAACCAGAAGCATGTCAAGCTCCCTCTCTTTAACTGGCTTAATCCTGACTGCGGCTTCACTACAGGTAGTCCTCAACTTGCAACAGTTCATTTAGTGACCGTTCAAAGTTACAACCTCATTGAAAAAAGTGACTTACGACCATTCTTCACATTTACAATTGTTGCCGCATCTCCATGGTCGTATGATCAAAATTCAGATGCTTGACAACTGATTTATACTTACGACGGTTGCAGCGTCGCAGGGTCATGGGGTCATATTTTGTGGCCTTCTGACAAGCAAAGACAACGGGGAAGCCGGATTCATTTAACAAAACATGTTACTAACTCAACAATTGCAGTGATTCACTTAACAACTGTGGCAAAAAAGGTGGTAAAATGGGGCAAAATTCACTCACTTAACAAATGTCTCACCTAGCAGCAGAAATTTTGGGCTCAATTGAGGTTGTAAATGAAGGACTACCTGTATTAACTACATGGTATGGTTAACAAAGAATCTTTATTCTGTATTAAGAAAGAAACCTCTGTGAACAGTCAATGACTCCTAACAAAATTCTTACATCCTCCAAGTTTAAAATCAGGTATGCTTTCTCCTGCCGCAGCTGATTGGAAATGTTGCTTTGCACTTCTTATATATGGTGCTAGTGGTAGTAATTTATTGACATATTCAACATTCCTTGCCTTAGAAACTCTAGCTCCCGACATAGCTCCCCACACATGGGGTTGCTGGAAAGGGAGAGACTGTATTCACATTCCAGTCCTTGTCAAACACCTTTTCCTCTTTTCATGTGCTGTACAGATGCCCATTTATCTAAATGTCTGTGGAGATTCTCAGTCATCCAGGTCATGGTTGTCCCTAAGGTGCTTTTTCAAAAAGCAACTGGACTTGTTTTTTTTTTTACTATTAATTGGTTTAGGGGCAGTGGTGGGTTGCCATTTTTTTACTACTTTTTCAGGCGCATGCACAAAAGCATCTGTGCGGGTGGGCGGAGCCTCCCGCCACTACTACTACCAGTTTGCACAATCCAGGCTGAACTGGGAACAACCCACCGCTGTTTAGGGGGCAGAACAGCTGTTGAAAGGCGCCAATGTCGTAAGAACAGGGTAAAGTGGTACTCCCAAGATTTGTGGCCTCTGTTGCAGTCTTCCCCAACTAAATGCCTTCCAGATGTGCTAAAGCACAGGTTTCATAATGACTTGACATTGCTATGATTATTCACAGTTATGACAAATGAGATGAAAAAGTAATTTTGCAACCAATGGCTGCATTTACAACCTTTGTATTATCTCTCTCTCTCAGTCATATGTTCACTATTACTGTTAATTATCCCATTATACTTTTGGGGGGTCTTTTTTGCCCTCCTCATGCAGCAGAGATTGTTTAAGTAAGCGCTCTCTTCCTGGGCTACTTTTCTCCACAGCACAGTACAGTGAAACCTTTTAGCTATTTATGATTAGACAAGATGTCTCACCATAGCTTTGATTCCCTCTGGGAAAAGAAACCGATTATATAGGTCATCAACAGTTTCATTTGGGCCAACATCGCATTCCCTCTGCAGAAGAATTGGTCCTGTGTCCAAACCTTCATCTGCCCAAAAAATCGAAAATCCAGCCTTCTTGTCTCCTTCAATTAAAGTCCTGAAAATAAGTAAAACATGCCTTAATTTTAAAAATGTCTCCTTTATTCATTACCTTAATTACTGGTCAACTTTATCTGATATCAGAAGTTAATCAGGGTCTGGCTTAATGCTTAATTCCAGGACTGTAGACTAGATGGGGAAGTCCAACCGAAAATAAGGCAATTCAACACATGTCCATAAATTTGCGAAATAAAACCACATGAATAGCAATAGCAATAGCACTTAGACTTATATACCACTTTACAGTGCTCTAAGTGATTTACAGAGTCAATCTATTGCCCCCAACAATCTGGGTCCTCATTTTACCCACCTCGGAAGGATGGAAGGCTGAGTCAACCTTGAGTCTGATGAGATTTGAATCACCAAATTGCAGGTAGTCGGCAGGCAGCAGAAGAAGCTTGCAGTACTGCACTCTAACCACTGTGCCACCAAATACAATCGTTGTGAGATGAACTTGACTTAGTGAGTCTTTACCTCTATAAAACAAATGTATTAACTTTGCACATTTGGCAAAGAACTTGAATCTTTTGAACAATGTATTTTTTTCCATTCTTATATTAAATGATCCACTTGAAACTACTGCAGTGTTTATTGCTTACTACTTTTGTACCTATATTGTTTGGAAGAAAATGAATTTTCCTAGAAAGATCAACTGGAAAGTGGAAAAGTTACAAGATGAAACCTGGAAAACTTCTTCCTTAGACAAGTCCATTAACAAATCAGGAGACTTACACAGGAAAACCTTCGTCAGGAAACTTTACTGAAGTTGAACACAGTTATAAGAGCCTTGGTGGCACAGTGGTTAGAGTGAAGTACTGCAGGCTACTCTACTGACTACTGGCTGCCTGCAATTTGGCAGTTCGATTCTCACCAGGATCAAAGTTGACTCAGCCTTCCATCCTTCTGAGGTGGGTAAAATGAGGACCCAGATTGTTGGGGGCAATATAGTGACTCTGTAAACAGCTCAGAGAGGGCTGTAAAGCACTATAAAGTGGTATGTAAGTCTAAGTACTATTGCTATTGTTATTTCCACCTAAGTCACAACGTTGACCCTACTGTTAGGTAATGTGGACCGTGCACATCTCTCTGACCTTCCATCTGTCAAATAAATTATAATTAAGCCTACTTACCAATTGATTGCAGATGCTCCTCGGTGGCGAGGAAGGATTGAGGGGTGGTAAATAATAGAGCCATGCTTTGGACCATCAATAACCTCCATTGGAATGAACTGTGTGCAGAATGGAAGGACATTCAATTCTGCTCCAACCGAGTTATAGGCTTCAAGAACTTCCTGGATAGGTTTGCCTTTAACTCTCCACCTTGGGAATTTGAAGACTGGAGTTCCATCCCTTTCGGCAGCTGAGGCTGGAAAACAAAAGGCTTGTCAATAATTTTTTTAAAATTTCAGAGCTAAAATATAACATGCAGTATGGAGTTGAACGAACGTCACAAAAACACACGTTATAGCCAATTCATGAATTTGTGCATGAGTCTATGTGTCTTTTGTGTGTTGACTCCTGATGATTGCCTGAACAAATTCCTGCAGCTTTCTTGGCAAGGTTTTTCAGAAGAAATTTGCCATTACCGGTAGTTCTCAACTTGTGACCACAATTGGGGACCAACATTTCTACTGCTAAACAAGGTGGTTGCTAAGTGAGTCATGCCTGATTTTATAACTTTTTTGTCATGGTTATTAAGAGAACCGCTGCAGTTTAAGGGTATTGTGTGGTCGTTAAGTGAATACAGCTTTCCTCCTTTGACTTTGCTTGACATAATTCAAAGCTGAGAAGGTCACCAATGTGCAATCACAGGACTCCGGGATGCTGCAATTATCATAAATATATGCCACTTGCCAAGCACACGAGTTTTGATTACATGGCAGTGGGGCTGCTGCGATGGCTGTAACTACAAGGACCAATTATATAAGTCACTTTTTTCAGTGCTGGTGAATATTTGTGTCAGGCCTGAAGCCGGTTCCCTTTGGGATCTTTGGCCTGCCACACTAATATTGTCTTCTACTATGCTGTTTCATTAGTAGGGAATTGGGAGGGGGAATAGTAAGGACTAGAATGGGATGTTGTCAAAATAAAATTCCTTTCTAGAATCCAAGATCATCCTTTGTCTCTACACCTCTGCAC